CAATTGTTCCATTATTTCTTCCACTTCAGCTCCCAGTTCCTTTATACGTCTCTCTTTAGAAGCTAGCAATACCTCATACTGTATCTTTACTTTTTCTTCCTTTTCTTTTTGATGAGCTGCAAAGACTTTCTTCTGCTCGTCAGTTTTTTGGCTAGTTAACTGAGCTTTTACAGCTTCACGAAGATGTTTATCAACTTCTTTTCTGAGAATCTCATTCACACGAGCCTCAATCTCCTCTTCTTGTATCATAAGTTGTGCTTCTAATTTCTTATAAGCATTACCTGCTTCTACCACCTGAGCTTCAAGTGTTTCAATATCCTCTCTTCTCATTTTGACTTCAATCTTTAAATCTTCCACTTCTTTCAACACTGACTCCTCCTCTCTGTCCTGTGCTTTAGCTGTAGCCTCTATATGTTGTTTGATTTTTGCTGCTGTCTCCTCCTGAACCAGCTTCATTTTCTCATTCATTTCTTCTTCCAGCTCCTTTATTTGGGCCTCATATCGCTTCACCTTTAATTGCAGGTTAATTATTTCTTCTCGTAAATAGTGCTCAGTTTCTTTTTTCCATTTCAATTGTTCCATTATTTCCTCCACTTCAGCTCCCAGTTCCTTTATACGTCTCTCTTTAGAAGCTAGTAATACCTCATACTGTGTCTTAACTTTTTCTTCCTTCCCTTTCACATGAGCTGCAAATACTTTCTTCTGCTCGTCAATCTTTTGGCTACTTAACTGAGCTTTTACAGCTTCACGAAGATGTTTATCAACTTCTTCTCTGAGCCTCTCATTCACACAAGCCTCAATCTCCTCTTCTTGTTTTATAAGTTGTGCTTCTAACTTCTTATAAGCATTACCTGCTTCTACCACCTGAGCTTCAAGTGTTTTAATATCCTCTTTTCTCATTTTGACTTCATTCCTTAAATCTTCCACTTCTTTCAACACTGCCTCCTCCTCTCTGTCCTGCAGTGCTTTAGCTTTAGTCTCTTTTTGTTTGATTACTGCTGCTGTCTCCTCATGAAGCTGTTTCATTTTCTCATCCATTTCTTCTTCATATTGCTTCAGTTGGGCTTCATATTTTTGCTGATAATTCATCTTCAGCCTGTTCTTCTCAGCTCTTACTGCGTCTAGTTGTTGTTTGATTCCCTCCAGCTCTATAGCATGTTTCTCTTCTAATTCAGTCTTATGTTCTTCTCCTTTGCTTCTCTCTTCCATTTCTTTCTCCAGTAATTGGACTAAGCTGATAATTCTATCTTCATCTTCTTTAACAAGCTTCCCCTTCTCTTCTTCAAACTCCTTTTTAAGTGCCCTATTCTCTCTCATTAGCTCCTCCTCTTCTGCACGCTTCTCCTCAAGCTCTCTTGCAAGTGGCTCCTTCTCCTTCATTAGCTTATCCTTCTCTTTTGTAAGTGTCTTTATAAGCTCTTCCTTTTTGTCTATCTGCTTCTCCTTTTCTTTTGTTAGTTCCTCCTTTTGTATCTTAAGCTCCTCCTCTTTTTCCTTAAGCTCATCCTTCAGTGCCTCCTTCTCTCTCATTAACTCCTCTTTCAGTTGATTCTTCTCTAGTTCCATCTTTGCTTTCTCCTCAGCCACCTTATTCTTGATCTCATTCCTTAGCAGCTCCCTTTCTCGCTCCATTCCATCCTCCAGCTCTTTATTTATTGCAAGTAGTTCCACTTTCTCTTTTTTCAGCTCTTCATTCGCTACAGTCAGTTTT